GTTTATTTTGTAAATGAACCTTGGAACCCTCTACAAGACGCTTTCACGCGCATTACCAGCTTCGACTGCCGCGCGTGCGCGCTTGTCTGCGCCACTACGCTGTGCTCGAGGGCGACTCTACTGTGATGCGGAGCGACACTGGGGCCACAGTCCAAAGCGTGGCAGCGCTTCAGGGCACTGCGGAGGCCTGGGCTGCACTTCTGGAAGATGGATCGGTCGTGACCTGGGGCGATCCCGACTACGGCGGCGACAAGGGATGGGCCGAGCCAGAGCTGTGCGATGTCATCGAGATCCAGTCGACGGACGGTGCGTTTGCAGCTCTGTGAGGATGGCAGCGTGTCCGCGTGGGGTCATCCGGATTTTGGGGGAGTCACGCCGCGAATGTACAACACCGATGCGGCGGACCCTCCCTTCTTGAACGACGTAACCTCCATCCAGTCGAATAGCAGCGCTTTTGCCGCCCTTCGACGAGATGGTTCTGTCCGGCCCTGGGGTGATGCTGACAGAGTCGGAGGCCGAGCCATCGACGAAGACTTGACCAGAGTCGTGAAGATTCAGAGTAATCGCTGGGCGTTCGTCGCAATCAAGCAGAACGGCTCCGTGGAGGCTTGGGGTCATCTGGACTGGGGCGGTCTTGTTATCACCGATGACGGAAGGCCGCTGCTGGGAGTGGCGAATGTTCAGGCCACCGTTCGAGCTTTCGCCGCGATCTTGCACGATGGTTCTGTCCAAGCCTGGGGAGATGATGAGGGAGGCGGCGACCTCCCGGTCGTCGTCTCTGACTGCAGGGAGATTCAGGCCACGCACTACGCGTTCGCCGCCGTCCTCAACAGCGGCTCCGTCGTCACCTGGGGGGAGCCCGACAACGGGGGGAACAGCTCCGAGGTCGCGAACAGACTGGTTGCTGTTCGCTGCATTCAGGCTACTGCTCGGGCATTTGCAGTCATCCTGGAGAACGGATCGGTGGTCACTTGGGGCGATCCCGAATATGGCGGGAGCAAGGAGGGGCTCAAAAGTGTGGTCGCACTACAGGCCACGATCAGCGCCTTCGCTGCGCTTCTGCAGGATGGAACTGTGGTCACCTGGGGTTTTGCCGGCGAAGGAGGAGACAGCACCAGAGTGCAAGATCAGCTGCGCGGAGTCGCGGCAATAAGCGCCACGAGGCGAGGCTTCGTCGCCATCCGCAACAACGGCGCCGTGGTGGCCTGGGGAGCCTAAAAATCCTGTGCCGCGTGGTTCCCACTCTACCTCTAAGTTCCGGTTTTCCCTCTTCCCCCTAAGCTTTCAGGGCACCTTGACCCCTTCGGCCCCGAGGTAGGATTTTGCTCCCCGTCCGCCCTGCGAGTGATTTGCAAGTGAGTGCGCTCCTGTCCGAGAGTTCTTCGATTTTTTTCTGTGCCGCGCTCGCTCCTTCAAGCTGTCTTGGGCGGCTTTGGGCGGGGGGGGTGGGTTGGGAATCCGCCCCTTGGCGGGAGCCTCAGAGTGCAGCCGTAGGTCGTTTGAGCGGTGTTTGTGTTCCGGGTGTCCCTAACCCCTTGGGTTACCCTAGGCTGCCTTTCACCCCGCTCTGCCCAGGTCCTCTCTGCTGCGCGGCGATCCTCAGCCTTGCCGGGTTGTTTCGGGCTTCGAGGGGTTGGGTTTTTTTCGAGTGCGCGAGGTTCGGTTGTGTTCGAAGGCGGGTTCTCCGAGGCAGTCAGGTCCGAGTGCGCGAGGCGGGTTCTCCGAGGCAGCCAGGTCTGAGTGTGGTGTCGCTTGTCCGAGCTCCCTCTCAGGCCCGACCTTTGGAGCTTCGACTGGCTAGACTTTGCCTGGACCTTGGAGTGCCGTGAAAGTGCGTGCTGCCGGGCCTTACTTTGCCTGCGTTGGTGCTGTGCCTGGCGCTCTTTCAGGTCGAGAAGATGAGCTGCTGCCGGGACCTGCGGTTGCCTTGCCGGGACCTGCGGTTGCCTGGCCGTGTTGGTGCCCTTTCAGGTCCTTGTCGAGCTCTTGCTGCCGGGTCCTCAGTGCTTCCTTTGCTGTGGTGTGAGTTTTGCTGCCGGGACCTCATGGCCGTGGCTTCGTTGGGAGCTCGTTTAGGTCGGTCTCGTTTCCTTCGTCTTGCTGCCGGGACCTCAGAGTGCTTGCTGTGGCTGTGTTGGGAGTTCGTTTGCTTGTAGGTCGGTCTCGTTTCCTTCGTCTTGCTGCTGGGACCTCAGAGTGCTTGCTGTGGCTGTGTTGGGAGTTCGTTTGCTTGTAGGTCGGTCTCGTTTCCTTCGTCTTCCTGCTGGGACCTCAGAGTGCTTGCTGTGGCTGTTTTGGGAGCTCGTTTGCTTGTAGGTCGGTCTCGTTTCCTTCGTCTTCCTGCTGGGATCTCAGGGTGCTTGCTGTGGCTGTGTTGGTAGCTCGTTTGCTTGTAGGTCGGTCCCTTGCTGCGGTGTTGGTGCTGCCGGGACCTCGTGGCCGTGGTTGTGAGCTCGTTTGCTTGTAGGTCCCCTTGGTGCGGCGGCTTTTGCTTCCGGTTGCTCACTGTTGCCGCGTGGTGCGCGCTCTCTTTGAGGTTTCCTCGTGGACCCCCGGTGGAGTGGTGGGCTGGGTCGGCAGCTCGGGCCTGTTTGTCGGGGCCTCGTTTTTGCTCTTTCTCGCTTGAGGTCAAAGCCGTCGGGACAGCGGCCGAGGGGTGAGGAAAAGTTGGGCCGCCTCGTGACCCCCGTCGTTTAGGACCCTAGGTCCCTACCCCCTGCCCCCGCCTTGGTTCCGCTCCCATGCGCTGGTGCTGGTGCTTGTGCTGTGCTGTTGCTTGTGCTGGTGCTGCAGTTTTGTTTCAAGCGGGTGGGCGGGGGGCGGCGGGTTGCTGTGTGTGCCTCAAAGGTTTCAGGGATTTCTTTGCAGGTGGGTTGGGGCTCCGATGCACCTCTCAGGCTCGACCTTTGGAGCTTCGACTGGCTAGACTTTGCCTGGACCTTGGAGTGCCGTGAAAGTGCGAGCGCCCATTGTTAGCACCTTGTGAGCACCCGTTGTTAGCACCTTGTGAGCACCCCTTGTGAGCACCCCTTGTTAGCACCTTGTGAGCACCCCTTGTGAGCACCCCTTGTGAGCACCCCTTGTGAGCACCCCTTGTGAGCACCCCTTGTGAGCACCCCTTGTGAGCACCCCTTGTGAGCACCCCGTGTGAGCACCCCTTGTGAGCACCCCTTGTTAGCACCTTGTGAGCACCCGTTGTTAGCACCTTGTGAGCACCCTGTGAGCACCCTGTGAGCACCCTGTGAGCACCCTGTGGGCACCCTGCGAGCACCTTTGCGCCCAGGCTGTGACCTTCGGACGAGCGCCAGGGGCTCGAGAGTTCGTTCAGCTTGCCGTCGAGTGAAGCTCTGCCTTAAAAATGTGGTTGCTGTAGACGGTGCCCTCTCGAGCAGATCCCAGCGCCATTTTGGCGCAGCGCCAGCTAGCTTTCCAGCCATGGTGAACAAGAGGACGAAGGAGAACGCCAAGAGGGCCAATCTCCAGTGGGAGGTGAAGCACGGGATGAAGCGGATGAGCAACCGGCCTCTGACCGAGCAGGAGATCGAGGAGAAGAAGCAGGAGATCGCAAGAATCGACCGCCTCGAGACCCGGACGAGCACCCGCATCAACAACCATACGACCGAGGTTGTGACTCAGGCCCACGAGCAGACCAGGGCGGAGATTCGGACGGAGATCCGGAGACCGAGGCCCGCCTGTCCGGTCGGTTCGAGGAGACCGAGGCCCGCCTGTCGGGTCGGTTCGAGCAGCTCGCGAATCTCATCGCGCCGCCGGTCAAAAGGCAGAGGCTGGAGCGCGAGAGGGAGAGGGCCGAGAGGCGCGAGATGGAGCGTCAGGAACAGGAGGCCGAGCGCGCAGCCAAGCAGGCCGAAGTACAGCGCCTGCAGGAGATTGCTGCGGAGGCGCAGGCCAAAGCTGATCTTGCCAAGAAGCAGCTGAAGATGGCGGGAAACCCCAAACCCAAACAAAAGGCCAAGGCGGCTCCAAAGGCCAAGCGGGCAGCCAGAGGCCGCGATGGGCCATTGCCGAGCGGCAAGCCACCCGTGCCGGAGCCTGCGGTGGAGGCAAAAGAGTCGGTGGAGCCTGCCCCCGTCCCAGAGAAGGAGGCTGCTGTCCCAGAGGCTCTCCCAGAGGCGGCTGCCCCTCCCCCAGAGGAGTCGAAGGACGTCCCACTGGCGGTCCCAGAGCCTCCTGCGGAGGTCCAGGTCGTGACTCCCGTGAAAAAGACCAAGGACCTCGGCAAGACACCATCCAAGCCAGAGAAGCAGAAAAAGGAGAAAAAAGAGAAGAAGCAGGCGAAGGACCCCGAGTCCGACAAGGTGCCGGCCGGGATCTCGTCCGAGGAGTTTCGCGTGTGCCTCCAAAATCACCACAAGGTGGCTGTCAGCAAGCCGAGTGAGGACCTGCAGAGGTTCACCGTCGGTGGCTTCGGCTTCCGCCTCCTGGAGAGCTACCCAGGAGGCCGCCATTTGGAGATGACGCCCGAGCTCGGTGACATGGTCTCTGCCCTCAAGATGGTGTGTGAGAAGCCCTCCGAGTTCGAGGACATTTCCGTGCATAGCCGATACGGCACCTTCGACGCGGGGATCCGGGTGGACTTTGGAATCGTCATGGCGGGCGACAGAATGCTCGAAGGAGTCACCGGCTTCACCGTCCGCACCATCGACAGAATTCGCTCTCGAAAATTCGACCCACCGGTCTTCGTCTGCGACATCCAGGCCTATGAGGTCAAGACGGACTCCCTCACGCAGAGGAAGGTGTGTCGTATCAAGGACGACCCTCTGGAGCTGGAGAAGGCTTGCAAGCAGATCAAAGAGGGCGCCCTGGAGTTGGTGGCCTTGAAGAAGTCTTGTCCCAACGATCCCCGTGGCATCGACCTCGGCGATTCCTTCACTCTGGGCTTCGAGGGGCTCGAGCTGCCAGGCAACAAATTCGTCGACTTCGGCTCCCTCAACTTGCTGGAGGTCAGTGCACTCACTGCCGACGTCAGGCGCAGACACGAGACCTAGCCTGCCGTTTGGCTTTTCCCCGGGCTGCCCGAGATTGCACAGGGGTACCTGCCCGCCCGGTATTGCACAGGATGGGAGGTCAAGCTTCCCATTGCGGTGAGCGCCCTGCACTGCACAGCTAGGGGCGTGTCGCTCGATCACCTCCGCCAGTTGAACAGGCTGGCTGGAAAAAAAGCTTTTGCCCGAACTGCCTTCAGCATGTCCTGCCCTTCGGCTCCCCCGCGCCCAGGTCCCGCATCGAGTTCTTCGCGCTGCCCTCGGCTCGGTGCTCTTCCTGCCTGTTGCTCGGCTTGCCTCTTTGCTCCCGCTGCTTCCTGTGAATTTTCTGCTTCGGCTCCCCGCGCCCAGGTCCCGCATCGAGTTCTTCGCGCCTGGGTCTCGACTGCCTCGTGTGTGCGTGGCCCCGCCTGCTTCCTTGCTCAGGTCCGGTTTTGGTGAGCCATGGAGTTCGCCTTGGGTGAATTCTGAATGCTTCCGCGAGGTCTTCGCGCTGCACAGGGAGTTCGTGGAGTTTCCCCAGCCGCTGCGCAGCCAGCAGCTTGGTCGCTGGCATGATGCGACCACCTACTTTCTTTGGGGCCGTTTCATCACACGGTGCTTGCTGAGCGGAATCGTGCCCGCCTCACAGCGCACCAGTGTACGTCTGCAGCTTCAACGTGCCGGCCGCCTCCTGGTCACCTTTGAATTCTTCGTCCAAGTCCGGGACGTCATGCGGTTGAGCGTCTCGCTGGACAGGGCAATCGACGTGGAAACCTTTTACCTGGGCCCGATGCGCTGTTTTGGTGAAACCCAGAGCTATATGTCTTTCGTCTATCGCTTGCATGCGCTCCCCCAATCTGAGGGGCAGTTCGCCGCTGACTGTGTGGAGTGGCATTTTTTCAGCGACGACGAGGACGAGGGCACAGAGAGCTGACAGTCGGAGCCCGAATATTAGTGCCACCACAGAGCTGCTTGTGCAGCACCAGGGCAGCACGGCAAGTCACCTCCCGCGGATGGCGCGGGAAAAGATCAGCTTGCCTTTCGCGAGCATGTGTGACCTGGGTTTGCTTCTTTGCTCCCGCTGCTGGTGAATTTTCTGCAGCTGCTCAAGCTCCCCGAGCTCCTTTTTGCCATGGCTCAGCAGGCCCTGGCTCTCCTGGCAGAGCGGACCGAGGCAGAATTCGACGACGTCGACGGGCGGCCGCCAGCGGCTCTGCGGGACTGGGGTGTGAGGATGCGGGACCTTTTGCAGCTTGGACTGGAAGTCCAGCCGCCGCGCGGAGACACGACAAAAGCTTCGCCTAGTCCGGGATTACCTGCAACAGCCCTCGCAAGAGCAACTCCAGGAGGCTGTGGATGAGATCATTTGGGAGGATTTGGCGCCCTTGGTGCAGGAGGAGCTGGAGCCGGTCGAAAGAGAGTCCAGGCGGATCATTGACTCCTTCGGCCCGCACAGGGATGGTTTCTTGAACTCTGACGAGTGGGACCATCACGATGCTCAAATCGCGAGTTTTTGCCGCGACCTCGTCGGGCAGGAACCCTGGCGCATCCTTACAGTTGCTGACTTGCTTGCGGAGTTCAACATCGACTCGGTTCGCCATGGGGAGCCTGCAGTGCCCCGATAGTACAGTTTCCGACGGGCATCAACAGCGGGGCCTGCGTGTGCCTAGCAGTGGCCATGTGTACAGGGGCCGAAGCACCGGGAAAACACATCTCGTGAGCAGCGGTTAGTGTGAAGCCAGTTGTGAAGCTTGGTTGTGCATTTTGAAGCTTTTCTGGTTCAAGTGCCGGGTGGGGCGGGGGTCGGGCAGCCTTGCTGAAGCCAGGCGGGACCTCGGAGTGTCAGCCTTGTGCCTTGGAGCCTCACCTGTCCTCGCAGGCTCCAGATGGCTATTGTCCGAGCCTTCCAGTCTGACGGTGCTTGTCATGATGTGTTTTTCCACCTCTCTTTTTGATGCGCTCCGCGCACCCGCTCCCTAGGTTGCGCGAGGTTCTGAAACGGCGCCGGTTAGGGCACCGGTTAGGGCACCAGTTAGGGCACCAGTTAGGGCACCGGCTAGGGCCCCGGCTAGGGCGCCAGTTAGGGCACCTGTTAGGGCACCGCTTAGGGCGCCGGTTAGCGAATCGGGTTGCGAAATGGGTTTTGAAATTGTGTGCGCGAGGTTTTGAAATCTGCGCGTCAAGGCGGGGCCGT